AGACATGCTGCATGTGCACTTCAGCAGAATATGGGTGCATTACAGCCACCTGTCCAACATGTACATAATGACTGTTTTCCCCACATAAAGTGCACATAACAGTGGCAGAACAGACAGCCAGAGTAATATCAGCAACTTGACAAGGAAGATGTAACTAGATTTTAAATCCTCCCTTTGATGATTGAAAGTTAAAAGCGAAGTCCTGGAGTTAAAAAATGTCTTTTGTTGTTGTGTTTTTTGGTAAAATGTTAAATGAGATGAAGGATAAAATGATTTTGATGATATTTTTAAATTTATTTTTAGCTTAGATTTGGTTTTGTTTCCTGGTGGAAGTGTTTCTTGTTCAAGGACTGTTGGAAATTTGAAAATCCCAAAATAATTTCTGTTTTACAGTTTCTGGCTATGATAACTGAACCCAGTCTCACTTGGAAGTCATCGAAATCTGATGCTTGGGTAGTGATATGTAGTGTCGGACACTGGAGGGGTAAGAACGAAAGTTAAGGCGAATGAGGGCAAGTAGGGCAGGCAGGTCCAACAAACAGTGAGCACGGTTACATGCACACAATAATCAGATAACTGGGAATAATCAGGTATTGGTAATAATGCGATTTGACACGTTTACATGCACTTCAATAATCTGATAATCAGAAAAACCTGGTTTACATGATTCAGTCCTTCAGTTGGATTTCTCCTCAAGTACATGAAAACATAAAAGTACATAAAACTGTTACAGTAGGTACTCATATCCTTGAAAAACCTTGAAAAGTACGCAAGTCATATATTTGCAAAATAAAGCACTCATGCTGACAGCTTATATTCTTACTGTACTGTTTGTTTTTATCATTAACAAATACATGTGAAAGCATTCTAATGTGTAGTTTATCAATGTGGAGCCAATTTTACATACTTTGGGTAGATTCGGAGTAAAAGTACTGCAAAGAGCAATACACAAGTGTATTGTATATAAACTTGTCACACAAAGTGCATAACATATAAGTAAGATAAAATAAAAGTGACAATTTAAACACTGAGAATATAAAAATATATTATTTTATGTAAAATCTTCATCTGAAAGGAAACAAAAGCTGTCAGATTAACGTAGTGGAGTAAAAAGTACAATATTTCCCTCTAAAATGTAGTGGAGTGGGAGTATAAAATAGCAAAACCCGAAAGAAACCAGATTAAAGGGTATACATGCACCGAGTAATCTGACTACTGGGGAAAAAGCTAGGTGTGTTTATCTGATTTCTCATAATCAGATAATGGCTTTTATCTGATAAAGCCTATCAGATTATGCTGTTTACATGACCACTTGAATAATCAGGTAACTCCAGAAATCAGATAATGATCGGTTTATTAGTGTGCATGTAAACACGCTCAGTGACTTTCACCTGGGAGCACGTCCCATAAGATTATAAAGCCAGATCCTGTTCCTTTTTCCTAAACCTAACCACTTGCTTTTGTTGTTGGAGGGGAAAAAAAAGTAAATTCATGGTGTTATACTGATGAAGTGCGTTTATTTTGAAAGAGACTGCATGTAAACGGTAAATTTCCTTTAAAAACAGAACAGTATTTTGAAAGAAGACAATGCATGTAACAGGCAGAAGTTGACACGGCGACCCAGAACGTCAACAATCAAAGCACCCAGGGTACCTTTCACGTCGTATCTGGACATGGAAAGTCCATGAACAAACATCGATATGTGACAAGGTCGGAGTGAGAATGTGTTGGATAAACTGCGTAATCTTGGTTATTTTTAGAAAAACATGACTTTCAAACTGACACGCTGGTTTTAGGGTTCAGGCGGTATTTAAAATATAAAGAAAATATAAACATTTAAGTTGTATGTCCCTCCCCTAAGCCAAAATAAAAGACACAAGTTCCTCCCCAGCACTTAAAAAACTATTTGACATGTCTCCCTGCTTTTGCGCCACCTGAAACCCCTCTTATAAGTAACGCACAGTCCCTTAGGCCCGAAAGTATGTCAAGTTCTTTGTATCGGTCTCTTATTTTAGTAAAAATAAAATCCTGTGTCTTCCTACAGGCTGCAGTGTAGCAGAAGGTGTTGCTTTGTCATCACCTCTTGTTGGCAGAACTGACAGCCTGTTTTCTCTTTGTTATTCCCGCTCCGTCTGTGTCTCAATAGCAGGTTGTTGTCACACACTCTGTATTATAGTGTCAATCTGTCTTTCTCAGTGTTTAGGTTGTAACCCAGATACACAACATCTATTGCATGTCAGCTCATCCTGTAAGAGGCATCGCTCCTCGAGATTTCCTCCTGTTTTTGCCCTCAGAAAAGTTTTTCTCATCGAGGCAGGACACATATGATGTGCATAATATATAGGCTATAAATTGGCTGGTTGAGATCGTGTATGAGCTGCTCAATGCTGCTTAGCTCTTTAATGAATCCCATAAAAACTGACTTTGCCTAATTTATCCCAGCAACCGTTGTTTGTTGTGTTTTTGATGACTTTGTGAAAAGTAGGTGTTTATTGAAAATCTCATAGTCTGGAATTTTTAGGGACCCTACATCACTAACACAGAGTTCTCTTCCTTTGTTAATCGCAGCCAAGGTGAAAATTGACTGTAGACTTTAATTTTCAGTCCTTAATGGAGGTGTAATTTCCACTGTTTGTGTCCCCCCCTACAGTACAACAACTTTTTTTTCTAAGCACAAAAATAGTGCTTAATATGCTACTGATTGGCCAGCCGTCAGATCCTGACTGGGAATGTGAATCACCATGATATACTCCTAAACGTGCCACAGAGGAGTATCATATTTAACATATTTATGGCAGATTTTTTTCTGTTTCCACTGTGAAAAGTTGTGCATGGTACCAGTGGAACCGTTCTGTCCCGTCCCCATTTTTGGTCCCCCCTCTGTTGGGGTACCTTGCACACAGATCTGGTAGTAAAAGGTGGAGCTGTGAACACTGCAGGCCGTTGATTGGTCAATAGAGAATCTTCACTTTTGTTCGACAAAGGACTCCATGCACAAACCCAGCAGTTTTAAATATCACATTGATTGCCACAGACAGTCAACGAGGTGTAGAAGTTCCTCTTAATCATCGGCAAAGAGGAAATTCGGCGGGAGCTGGACAGAGCAGTTAAGAACGAGAAAGTTCTTAACAAATGGCTGACCACAGCTTCCACCAGACGACCGAGCAGTGTAGAACAAAATGTAAAAAACTCAAAAGTGACTATAGAAGGATCAAGGACCACAACAACACGAACAGTTGGTGGTGGTTCAATGCCATCTATGGTCACAGGCTGGCAAGCAATGGAAGAGAGGGGGGCATTGACTCAATCACGGCTTTACTTGTATCCCTTCTGGAGTCCAACAGTGATTATTGTTGCATTAGGGGGATGAAATATTCCTTTAACAGGGGTTTCATCCTCAGCAGCAGTCTCTTGGGATATTTAAAGTGACTTAGACCCTTACAGCCGACATAAGACACCTGTTAACTCTACATCAAAAATGTACACAGCTGCCTCCATCATAGCAAAATGAACAAACACCAAACACAACTGTTATTCTGTATATTTATTGATAATAAGACCACTGATGGTGACTTTAGTCAGTAGTAGACAGCATGGTGCAATTCTTTTTGAGTGTCTGGTGACCCCATGTGTAAGCAGGATGGTATTACAATTTAGTATTTACAGGACAATATCAGTTTGGGGAAGGAAAAATAAAACAAGTATCAGAGCGCTGGAAAAAACATACATTCACCAAATAAATGTACAGCTTTGAAAGCAATAAGGTCTGAAAAGCCACAACCAAATACTGACCAAAGTTGGATACAACAGGGTGCACAAAATCTAGACGCTCTCTCGCTTACACTCGCACACACTCTCACTCAAGGTTAAGGAGACGGTCAAGTAAAGAAACTAAACCACACAGGCACTCACACACACATACTGAAAGAGAGATAGAAAATCACTTGGTGAAAGTGTAAACTTAATGCCAACCAAACCATAATAAATATACAGCTAAATTGAAACACATTACTCTCAACGAAACATTGGCCACAATTATTTTTCCAGTGCAAGTTTCCTATAAACTATCAAACAAATACAAGTTAACAGCACAAAGTGCGGAATCAAAACTGTGACACGACATTTATATGATTAGCTTATTAGTATGAGAAACATTACATCATATAAATTACATTTCCAATAAATATCTACAGATGATGATGAGGATGATGGTGATGATGATGGCGTGTTGATGCACTACATAGGATACTGTAAATACTAGCTGAAAACTGTTGCAGTCCTTTTGCGTCTCAAACGGCGACTTTTCTCACTTTAACCCAGCTGGCGTTATAGTCCACAAGGAGAAAACAACTGATATGATTTGATATCAACAAACAGGCTGAAAATCTTTGTTTCACTGACCTCTTCTGGTTAAAAACCTCTACATCACTGCAACAAGGTGAGAACTTTAACCATCAGAGGCCAGAAAAAACAATATTTTCAGCTGGTGCTAAGTTGCTCTTTGAAGATAAGCCCTGACATTTCAGACTTTAGTCAATTTCTTTTACATAAACCAGAAAGACAAGCACTGAAACATGACTTAAGTGTCAGTATGCTTAAAATTAAGTGCCTTTAGGTTACCAGGCAGCAGATTTTACGCAGATTGCCCAGGTGTGTGTGGAGGTGTGTGAAAGTTGGCATGATTTAACCTTGTCTCTCAATCTCACTTCTTAAATATCCTCGTGAGACCGTGTCCTCATATGATGACATTTTGGGTTTACTTGACCTTATGCTTCATTCTACCAAATTTAGACCTATTGTCCTTATTTGTGGACGCTTTTTTGTGCCATCTAGTGGTAGTAAGAGCACAATACACTAATCCATGTAAAAACAAGATGGCTGCCATGTCTGCCAAGTCAGTCTGCAGCCGATCCCGACACAAAAGTGGACAAGGTCCAGAACTTGATCACATTTTATGGTTGAGACTTGTTTATTTATGATTAATAATGTTTGTAGCTTCATATGGCAACAAATTTGACCAATTTTAGCAAAAGTAACAAGCAAAGACACTGTTAATTAGGAAGTACTCGTTTGACAATATTTAGTTTTTTACACTTATCAGGTCTTAGTGACTCCAAATAGCTAGAAGAAATTAAAAATGCATACCAAACAAAAGTTCAGGTCTCAGGAGGATATTCCCAGTACAGAATCCATCACTTTTCATGTGACAAACAGGCGTTAACACTATAAATGCCTCTGGGCAGAAACTGCTGTCCCTGTTTGTATGATTACAACATCTCATCCCTCTCAGTGTTTTTCATCCAAAACAGCTATAAACACTTTTCCCTTTTGACGACACCTCATAATATCTACATTGTTAGTAGAATACCAACCTTAAAGGAGCTCTATACGATATTCCGAGCATATCTATGATACAGAGGTCTACACATGGTTCTCAAGATGGAGGTGGTTCAGCCAGCAGCTAGCAGTTAGCACAAGCAGTACTAAAAATAGCAACAGTGCTGACAGAGCTAACTGTAGCCCTTTTCACAAAGAGATTCTGCGATAGAACCGCAACAAAGACCCTTCATTGTGCCTACTTTGATTTTTTTTACACAGAAACAAACAATGTCGGCATAATGCTGCTCCAGATAGTGTGCTGGCATGTAACACAACAGCGTCGGCCTCTTGTGTGACATATAACATATCCGTCCGGCAGCGCTTTTTCAAAATTAAGAATGGCATAACATGGCAGTAACAATCAATTAGCGTCCCTGTTATGTGGCAGCTGATTTCGTCCTCTGCTTGGAGGGAAAGGAGCTCCCAGACCTCACTGTCTTCCCAATTTGGTTGCTGTTTTTCTTCTTTGAGTTAGCTGCTAACTGCTTCTAGCTGCTTCTTAAATCTTTCAGTGGTGGGTCGCACACATAATACATTGTCAGAACGTCACACCTGTCCCGTCCTGCTGGCTGTCCCTTTCACACAGATGTTGATTTGGCGCTGTTACTACCTCTGCAGTCGGCTTAAAAGTGAGACAACTCTGTCCCCCCATTTCTTCGATACAGAATGGCGAGGAGAAATAACAGTGTGACATTCCCACCTTGAACAGGCAGTGTAAAAGTGTTATCATGCGGGAACCACAGCCCGGGCACTATACTTCGCTGACGATGCTATACTACTATCAGTAGTAACCACCGTATAAGCGGAGTGCAGGGACTCACATCATCGGACCGTCCACCACAACAAACGACAGAGAAGCTCAGGTTACAACATACACAAAGGCAGAGTGACCTCATTCTCTTCTTAGGGTGCCATTACTCCATCATCTTAACAAGTAGTTGTTTGCTGCTTTATTAAAGCTCTAAATAACATACAGAGCTCCTTTAAAGATAACTGAGTGTAATTAAGAGCCTTAAATGCGTGGGTCACACCAGGATGTGAAACTAGATTTTGTGGTGAGATCAAATCATTTCAATGAAAACTACACAAAGTTAGACTAAGGGCATTTTCATGTTAGGAACGACTGATCTGTACCCAGGCCTGGGTCCCTGAACTGACCTTATCTGTTTTGCTTGATGAATAGATTTCTTTCCCCACAAAGATTGATTTAGTTAAATTAGGGCACTTATTTTAGCGCTATTTTAAGTTACTCAGAGAGTTTGACAGTAAAGTAAATTACAATTTTAACATCTAATTTATCTCATAATCTGCTATTGAGGCAAATGATTGGGTCAAAAAAATATAGTGCCTCATCTACAGGTAAAAATACAACTTTTCTCTCCTTTGTTAGCTTCCTCGTTTTTCCTAGAAACTTAAAACACCCTCCTCAGTCTCCAGCTCACATTATCAGCTCACAAAATGTCACAACCATAGGAATATACAATGGTGAGCAATAGCAAAGTCAAATGCAAAACTAAACCTATCTAATAAAGTATTACTTTCAAGCTTTAGTAATGTCATTCTGTACAAAGGTGTGCAGTGGTCTTCTGATGACGGTCAGTGGAGCATGCTGCAGCCAACTGAGAAGCTAAGTTTCACCCAATCACCTATCTGAGACCAACACCGCTGACAACTCTGGTCTACCTGCTCTGTGCAGGCTGTACTGATCCGAGATATGTGCCAATGAGCAACTTCTACATCAAGCAGCGGTGGGATGTGTGGTATAGAACGCTTTGATGCAACAGCAGTGAGTTGTGGAATGGTGCTTTACAGTAAGATACATTAAGATATTACATTAAGATCACAGGCAGAGAGAAGGAGGGAGGTAAATTCCAATTCAGGCGTGTGATAGTGTTTTGGGAATTTACTCGTCATGTGTCAAGGCTCTTTGTTTCTTCTTCTCTTCATCTCCCTAAAGAGAAAAAAAAACACAGAGAAAGAAGAGTTACTTGTGTGTGAATTAAACCAGCAGGCACTGATTTTTTTTTGGCCACCTGGGGGCAGTAGAACAAACTTTAAACACAACACTGACGAACGACGACCATATAAAGTTATTATGGTGAAAATATTAGCAAAGAGTTGCCTATTTGTGTTTGTCTTGTTTCTGGCCACCTAACGAATATAAGTCCATTGCTGACTTTCCTTTTAGCTCTGTTTTGGTCTTCACCAACTCTTAGGAGAAATATTTGGCTCTTAAAGTCTGCCAGTTTAAGCCTTTCAGATCTCATTACTGGACATGTGCAGATATTTAACAATATATGCTCAAAATATCAGTTTCTTTATATTCATATCTTTAAACCCATCATGTTTTCTTCTCATAAAATAAAATATGAGGTGTGCTTCCATAAGCTAGTACTTTTAGTTGCACAGCAGTAAGATTGAGGGTGCTTTCAGACCTAGAGTTGTCTTGTGTTGGTTCTAATCAGGGACTACCTTGGTTACGAAGTTGTATAACTGCCTCGAGCTGGTTCGTGTTCTCGCAACAGCATTTACAAGCAGACCAGATCAAATGCCTTGCGCGAGAAAGCTGCTCCTGATTGGTCAGAATTTCCACGAGGCGCGGCTCCAACTAGAAAACAATGTTTTGATGCATTGGATGTGCTGAATGTGCATATTAAGGCAGTACAGGAGGAGGTGCACATTAATAATCCTCCAGGACTGTAACATGCTCATGTTTAACCCAAACAATGTGTCATGTGACTGCAGTTGATTCAGATCCAGGTCGGAACACGTTCTCACCACAAACGAACCGCACCAGAGTTCGTTTGTAACCGGACTGAGGCCACCTCTTCAAGAAGGTCTCGGTCTGGTTGTTTTGGTGCACACCTGAGTGTGATTGCTGTGTTCACACCTGCCCAAATGAACTGCACTTAGGGAGAAAACGAACTTGAGTTTGATTGAACCGAACCAAACAGGGCAGGTGCGAAAGTACCCTACGTTAGCTAGCTAGCAACAGCACGCTACATCAGTCTGTCTCTGTTTCCCAATAACATCATGGTTACGGTGACACACCACTTTTCAATGATCAAACCTTTGTTTTCATTTCCAAAACAATGTGACTGAGGTCTAATTCATTCATTTATTAATCCAATTCATTCTATCACTCATCTCTCCTTTCTCTTCCTCCTGATCTAACAATGAGGGAGGTGTGTGTGGAGCAGTCCACCGTAGCTCCATGTTGCGCTAAACTCTAAGCCTGCCCACTTTTAAGAGTCCAATAAAATGTGAAGGATTTGATTTAAATCCCTCTGACATGCTTGTGACATATGACCCTTCTATGACCATGAGGACATCTGGGGCCGGCCTACTGATCATCCCAAGAGTTGGAATAAAACATGGTGAAGCAGCGTTTTGTTATCATGCAGCACAAACCTGGAATAACCTCCAGATGATGTTAGACAGACCCGACTCTGAACACTTTGAAGCCAAAGCTAAAAACAGTCCTTCCTGCTTACTCCACCCTGCAATGACTGTAAACTTATTTTTAGACTTAATTTTAAATCATTTAAATAATCCTTTCATCTTTGCACCTCTGGTCTGCACTTTGCTATTTTTAATGATTTTGGGGTTTTTTGTAAATCATTTAGTAATTAATTTTACCTTTTATATGTTTTTTTTCTCTTCACGCTTTTATTGCAAATCTGTATCCTTTATTGTGTTTTATATTTTATTGCTCTGTAAAGCACACTGAATTACCCTGGTGTATGAAATGCGCTATACAAATAAAGCTGCCTTGCTTTGCCTTGTAATTGTACACTGATCAAATATTCTGTTTCACTGGGAAATATCTCACAGAACAGAAACTAAAGACGCTCTAACTTTCACTTCACTGGGACATTAAGCTGCTAAATGCTTTATTATGTTCTCCAGCTAGTCGCTAACTTTACCTGCTGTGAGAGAGAAAGAAAGCGCAGCTGGTACCAGTGTATCAGTACAGCAGAAAATTAGCATTGAAATCACAAATATTCAGAATTGATATGTATTGATAAATCCATGTTTTTGACCATACTGGCATAAAGACGTGGAGTTTTTTTTTCTGCTAAACAGTTAAGTTGTGGGCTGTAAATCCAAAACACTGAGAGAGGCTACAAACACTCTGGAGCTGAGTAGTTGGTAAATTACAGTAGTAATTTTATTCATAGTCAACATTAAAATCTTGATGATGGCAGCATTAATTCTGAATGTGTGTGGTAATTGTGTGTCTCTCACCTGCCACGTCACATCAGCTAAACCATCTCGTACTGATTGGCTGTGATGATCCTGGACAGACAGCAGGCCAGCAACATGCCAATCAGCTGGAGGACAGACAGAGAAGGACTTTCGTTTGTTTCATGTTTGGGGGGTCAGAAATATTCAGATTAACGTTTTCTCAAAGTCAAGACATCACTTCCTGTGAAACCTACACATTTATGTTGTGATAATTAAAGTGCTACTAGTATCTCCATTCTCTCTCTGCATTGGGTTTGATTAGAAGAACAAGAAGAAGAAAAAGAGCCTGTGAATTCTGTCAAAACATACACTAACCAGCCACTTTATTAGGTACACCATGGTAGTACTAGGTTGGACCCCTTTGCCTTCAGACCTGCCTTAATTCTTGGTGGCATAGATTCAACAAGGTGCTGGAAACATTCCTCAGGGATTTTGGTCCATATTGACATGATGACATCACACAGTTGCTGCAGATTTGTCGGCTGCACATACATGATGAGAATCTCCCGTTCCACCACATCCCAAAGGTGCTCTATTGGATTGAGATCTGGTGACTGTGGAGGCCATTGGAGTACAGTGAACTCACTGTCATGTTCAAGAAACCAGTTTGAGATGATCTGAGCTTTGTGACATGGTGCGTTATCCTGCTGGAAGTAGCCATCAGAAGATGGGTACACTGTGGTCATAAAGGGATGGACACGGTCAGCAACAATACTCAGGTAGGCTGTGGTGTTTAAACCATGCTCAGTTGGTACTAAGGGGCCCAAAGTGTTCTGACCCTACCATCTGAATGTGGCGGCAGAAATCCAGACTCATCAGACCAGGCAACGTGTTTCCAATCTTCTATTGTCCAGTTTTGGTGAGCCTGTGTGAACTGTAGCCTCAGTTTCCTGATGTTAGCTGACAGGAGTGGCACCTGGTGTGGTCTTCTGCTGCTGTAGCCCATCTGCTTCAAGGTTGGACGTGTTGTTGGTTCAGAGATGGTCTTCTGCAGACCTTGGTTGTAACCAGTGGTTATTTGAGTTACTGTTGCCTTTCTATCATCTTGAACCAGTCTGGCCATTCTCCTCTGACCTCTGGCATCAACAAGGCATTTTCTCACTGGGTATTTTCTCTTTTTCAGACCGTCCTCTGTAAACCCTAGAGATGGTTGTGGTGGTGTGTGAAAATCCCAGTAGATCAGCAGTTTCTGACAGACCAGCCCATCTGGCACCAACAACCATGCCATTCTGATGCTCAGTTTGAACTTCAGCAGGTCGTCTTGACCATGTCTACATGCCTAAATTCATTGAGTTGCTGCCACATGATTGGGTGATTAGCTGTTTGCGTTAACAAGAAGTTAAACAAGTGTACCTAATAAAGTGGCCTGTGAGTGTAATTTGTAGTCTATTTCTGGAAATTTAAACAGCTACTTGTTTCATGCCATGGGCGTTTTTGTTAGCAGAGGTTTTGATTTGCCATAGCAGTTAAAACACAGATGTTACTAAGAACATTCTTAATTGCTAAATGCTTAATTGCTAAAACATGACAAGTGCCACCTTTTATTTGCACATCATCACCTCTTACCTGTGAGAAGGCGATCCCAAACGTCACTCCTGCGATAATGGCCATGTTGGTCTCCATGAATGAAGTGACCAGCTCGTAGCAGCCCTGCAACACAGGGGGCAGGTTAGTTTGCAGAGGAAACAGGGACGTGTTATATGCGCAAATTAGGGGTAAGATGGATATCTGGGAGACTATCTGAGGCAGTTGTTAGTGTATGGAGGAGGAAGATGGTTTGAAAAAGTGAATGAGGGCCTGTCAGGTATAAATGCAGGCATTTATAAAGTACATAAAGTACCTGGCACAACATACAGCGACATACTGACCTGGTGGTAGACCTTGCTCGGGGCTAGAGTTGTATTGCGGAGGTCGTCTGGGTTGCAGTCGGAGGCGTTAAAGCAGCAGCTGGCAGGAATGCCGTTGGATGGGTAATACACACTGCCGAACCAACTGGTGTAGTTATACACTCCACAACAACGCAGCTAGAAATGCACAGAAAAGGAGAGAGCATGAAGCAGCTGAGGATTAAAAGATCAGGCTGCTGTTATTTCATATTTTTCTCATTTCAACAAATCCAAGACCAAAACAAACAACGTGTCGGCTCGTCTCTGAATAGTTTACGATTTCCTTGTTTGTTGCACCAAACCCCTTCTTATTGGGACTATTTTCAGCCGCAGGTTAGTACATAATGTTGTGACTTTTTTTTTTCTTACATTTGTTTATCAGATTTTCCACACACAAATGTCGAGTTACTTTTCAAATTTCACTATAAAGTCAAGTATAACATATATCAAGAAAAAATTGAAAAAGTACACAGAACAAAGATTAAATACATAAGTAATGCAATGACAAAGGACACACAAATAAATGAGAATAAATAATAAAAAACAATAAAAAATAAATGACAAATAAAAATGAAATAAATGAGAATAAATAAAAAATGATAAAAAATAAATAAAAAATAAATGACAAATAAAAAAATAAGTATAAACAAAAATAAAATAAAAACAGACAAAACTAAGGCTGTTCCTAATGATTTTTCCCCCCAACATTTTATAATAATTAATAGTAATAATTGGTAACCCAATTATAATCAAAGACAAATACGAAGTTCACATAATGACAAAAAGAAAAATAAACTTCACATTGCAAACCCAAAAAAGGCACATTAAAATGTCAATTAAAGCAGTGATTCTGGATCAGCAGCAAACACAAACCCCACGGCATGTGCAAAAAAGGTCGCCATATATTATTTAATTTGCTCAGAAAACTACTCATAGTAAACCCAATTTTTTCAGCTTTAATAAAGTGAAACAAAGTTTTGGATCTATGAGGAGTGAGAGGGGGGAGCAGGTCATTTCCACCTCAGTAAAATCAGATTAATAAGGTAAAATGATTATACTTGGTGACTCAGAAAAAAACTTATTTTGGACAATATGACAGAGGAAAATAAGCTAAATAAGGCTTTGGCTACACAGACAACACCTGTTAGAAGCATAAATTCATTTTTGTGTTTGGTTTTCATGGGAAAAAGATAGAACTGCTATCCTTTAGCGTTCAGGGTTGTGCTTTGGTTTGCTGCTGCTGAATTTATTGCCTGTTTCACCTCCATGATTTCATATCGGAGACTTACCCTGTGCTGCAGGTTATCAACGGCACGGCTCGCTTCATCCTCGGCGTTGTAGTTCAGGACTGCGTCGGTGTACGTCCTGCGAAAGGTTCCCTTTATCTGCATGCATGCAAACACATGATTGTTTTCAGCATAAGAGCACCTCACACAGCTTTAGTGTGAGACTTTAAAAGTTGTTACATGGTGTGCTGCATGCTGACCTCATGACGAAACACAAATCCAGAGATCCCAGCAACTAACTCAGCGAGGAAGACGAGTGACAGGAACATGGCATACTGCAGAGAGAGAGGAGAAGGAAGGGGGAGATTTGCATAGTTTGCATGAAAACCGTCTGCTTTAGTGTTTCATTTGCCTATGCTCACACACACACACACACACACACACACACACACACACACACACTTGACCACCATTAACTGAACAAAGTGCCCTGCAGCATCTATTGGATTTCTGATCCCTCTCCACAGGATAGAGGTCAATTATTATTCCCTTTATCATGTGACCTGAGGCTAATTAACCAGCATCTCTCCCTGCAACATTACACCCCACTCTTCTTCCCACAGCGTCTCACCAGCTTCAGCATCCATGGGCTCCCTCTGCAAGTGGCGAAGCATCCAAACAGGCCGAACACGATGATGACAGTCCCAGTGCCGATGAGGACGTACGGGGCGTTGGTGGAGTTGTCGGCTATCAGAGAGATATACGGGCCCAGCATCAACTTCCCCCATACTCCCACTGCCAGCAGGATGGCTCCTGTTATCTAGAGGGCGGGGGTTGGAGAGACGGGGATGTAACAAGAGAGAGCACAGGAAACAGAATGAAAGCAGGGAACGGGCCCTTTATCTCCACACTTCTGCAAGATTACAATAGCTGTGTTTTAGCAGCCGTGGCGAAGGGGAGGAGGAGAACGAGGATCAAGGTGGAACAAAAAAGCAGAGCAATTAGAGTAAGGAGGAGGAGACGGCAGACAGAAGACACAAATTTATCCGCTGTGCGGGATAGCAATCACCTGCTTTATGAATATGCCTGCACACACACACACACACGCACACAGAGAAAGAAAGAGAGGAAAAGAAAGGGGACATATCAAAGAAGCTCTTTGATCCGAGGCGAGACGCTTCCTCCTGTTGCGCCTATCTTAGCATTTCAAATGAAGGCTGCGGATAAAAGAGGGTGTTGTACGAGGCAGCTGAAGCGGCGTGTGTCTCAGCTGGGTATGTCTTACTGGCAATGGAAAGAGAGCGGGGTGTGGAACGGCTGCTGATGATCTGACTCGAGCGAGGGCCAACTCATCATCCCGGCCTCCTTCCTTTCCGAGAGCAGGCTGTTCGCCGTCCTGCTGCTAGGCCCTCTGACTAGAGAGGGAGCAGTCTGTACAAAATGTCTCTGTGCACCCTGAAACCTCGAGAACTGACAAAGAAGGACGCTCTCAGCTCTCAGCAGAAAATGAGCCAACATGAGTGAAACAGCAATGACTCCATCGGCTTTGCTCTTTGAATTAAAGTTCCCTCTTAGCAGTTAGTCAACAATGTTCTGAGGCTAAATGTCACATTACGTAAAAATGAAAATAAAACAGAAGTAATCAACAACAACACAAAAATATTTCTTTGTGTAGGGGAGACTGGGTATTGTTGTAGCAACGGGATGGTTGTGACCACATTCACCAAGACGAGATGACCTTTGAGTAATGAAATACACTTTCTTCCTGACCTTGAATGTGAAATTTTGTAACTTCGTGAAGAAGTTTGCAGATTTTACAGCCAAAACAATGATTTTTAGGCATGAAAGTATCTCCGACCAGTCTATATGTTGATTCGCACCCAATAGTTGACCAAACGTGAGTCGATCAGAAAGGTCATTAGTCCGCAAGAATTCATTGGTCGTGTAGTCACAGAAAAAACAAAGCAAACAAATGTGAAACTCTATTAGGAGTTGCACCTTGTCAAAACAAACAAAACCTACATGACTGGACCATGGGGGAATTTAATTTGAAAGGACAGACACAGGAAGTATCCATGCTCAGCAGTCAGACAGGAGTCGGGTTAATTTCCAGGGCTGGTACCTGCGGTTATTCCATAGGCCAGTTAATAACATGTCGGGCAGGAAATCCAAAGTGTGGGATCATTTTGAGAAGGTGAAGGACGAACCCAAGGTGATATGTAAACTCATCTTCATTGGTCGACTACAAACATGACGTATCATCTGAAACATGGAAGTAGCTACATGCCCATTAGCCCACAGCGTCATTAACAGGCAGCTCGCTCAGTGTGTGACGTGCACTTGTAGATAAAATATAAGCCTATATTAATGAAGGTTCATTAGTACAGTTTTGTATTTCTCTGTAATGTAGCACAGTGTTAACAATGTTACTGACACTATTCTTTCTCACACCTTCAACTCAAACCATTGTGTTGCCCTGCCCAATATATATCATTTAATAATTAAATTAATATTGTAAACATGCAGGCGATGAAATGACTAATGAAAATTCTTAGTTGGAGGCAGCCCTACAGTAACAGTCGTGTTAGAACTTTCTTGAGTAGTGGAGCAAGTTGTAGCGATGGAAATCCTTGTACTTGACATCAGTTCAGAAATTCAGTGATATAGTTGGGGAAGTTGGAAACACTGCTATTTGTAGTAGACAGTAAGGGTACTTTGTGCAATTTGAGCGCTTTAGCACAAGAATTAAGCGAGATATAGGTCCTGAGGAAAAAAGGGTTGCAACCATACCCGGTCTCCCTCCCTGACCATAGCTTAAACAAGTGTCTACGAGTTAATGACTGTGTTAACAACATTTACACTTTGCCCCATTAGCAGGGTGTGTACCTAATGATCGGGCAAAGGTTTTTCACTACGATGAATCACCAGTCTGTCCTTTAACTGCTGCATTGCTTTAGATTTGGTCGCAGTTCGATCATGCAGTTAAACACAGTTAAAGTGGTTTGAGAATATCTACAACTCGCTACTGTGTAAAATGGCCGATTGTGTCTCATGCAAACATCCACACATGAATTTCCATATCAGTCCACACAGATGATGAGTTTCAGCTGAGGGTGAGATGAGAAGGATTATAGGGAGAGAAAAACACACAGGAAGCTCAAGCTAAAACTACAATTTGAAATTACAGATACAGTGGTTTAGGGCTGCAACTCATGATTATTTATTTCAATAACAATCAGTCATTTGGACTGTAATTTTTTGGAAAATCGCCAAAAATGCCCATGAAATTGCTTTTATTCTCAATTCCACTAATAGATGGATTACTGAACAGGCCCACCAGGTACAGACCCAGGAGCCAAAAGTGTAAGGGGTCCCCTTAGCCTTCATTAGCAAAATGTCACTCAAATTAACAACCAGGAAGAGACTTAAAATTACCACAAAGAGACACAGAGGATCACAAAGAAATGCAAAGGAGCTACAAAGAGACACAAAATAACTGCAAAAACAGGCAAAATCGACCACAAAGAAAAACACGACGACCATAAAGAGACACACAATTACCACATAGAGACACAAAGTGGCTACAAAACAACACAAAATGACCACAAAGAGACACAAAATGGCTCCAAAACAACACAAAACAACCACAAAGAGACACAAAATGGCTCCAAAACAACACAAAAGAGACACAAAGAGACACAAAATGACCACAGAAACACACAAAGTGACCACAAAGACACAAAAAATTACCACGAAGAGACACAAATGGCTACCAAACAACACAAAATGACCACAAAGAGACACAAAATGGCTACCAAACAACACAAAAAGACACAAAGCAATCACAAAGACACACAAAATGACCACAAAGAGACACAAAATGCCTACAAAGCGACCACAAAAACTCACAAAGCTACCACAAAGACACAAAAAATGACCACAAAGAGACACAAAATGGCTACAAACAACACAAAACAACCACAAAGAGACACACAACAGCTACAAAACGACCACAAAGAGACACAAAATGGCTACAAAATAACAGAAAACAACCACAAAGAGACACAAAACGACCATAGAGACAAAACAACCACAAAGACACAAAATGGTAACAAAACGATCATAAAGGGACACAAAATGGCTACAAAGAGACAGAAAACAACCCCAAGGAGACACAAACTGATTATAGAACAAAAAAACTGACCAAAAAAAGACACAAAATTACCTCAGAGACATAAAACCACAAAAAGGTGCATAACAACTACAGACAAACACAAAACAACAACAAAAAGAGAGGCAAAACCACCACAGAGTATGTGTCTTGTTCCTGTGTAGGAGAGATGGTGGATTCCCATTTTTTCATAATCTGCCCATTGTTCCATCAACAGTTCACAACCAAATAAAACCACTGAATATCTGATTGATCATCAGAATCGTTGTTGGTTTCCAACAGTATTGCTGATGTATTTATCTCTTTGTGTTTGTGACTTAAACATGTAGCTGTGGTTTCTATTACACAAGCAGGACCTGTAAAAAAATGGGTGTTATTGACGACCTGTGGGCAGTTGGATGCGAGTTAGATAAATCCTCAGAGGCACAACATTTCATGGAGCTGAACCACATAGTGAGAACTCAAAGCCGGGAGACTTTCTATTTAAAACCGTCTCAAGAGTTGTCTGTTTAGTGTTTTTGTAATCTCCTCATCTGACTCATCGTCCTGTTGTTCCCTCTTGTGCTGTAGCTACTCTGTGCATGGAAGATATTTTCTATAGGCATACTAGTACTCTGGTTTCAAATGGGATGCAATGTCTTAAGGTCTTGATTTTCATGTATCATATAAACCATCACATGTATAAATGCTCAGTGAGTGAGACTGTTTGGTACTGATTTACTGATAGTGTTTATTTTCAGGTATTTGCAGAGCACTGGTCAGTGAAAGCTGGTCAACTATCTGCTGATGTAACGAAAAAAAAAATCTTGACTTAATTTATAAAATGGTGAGTCTCGCACTTGTGCAGTTGCTGTTGTTGTGCTATTTACTGAAAGATTTTCTCTTTAAAAATACTTAATGAAGGGCAACCTGTCCCAGTCACAACAGCAGTGTTGGAGACAGTGTGGACACATGAATGCCAATCACTCCCACAGTTTTTTGGACGTGTCCAAAGATTCAAATATTTAGGAGAAAAATATGTTTAATTTTCAAAAAGATTTTGGGATATTAAATACCTATTGATGGCAAGGCCCTTTATTTTAATAAAAAAAGTATTGATGTAAAATATTGTTCATTGCCAGTAAGAAAGCAATTACAAAGAACTGGTACAAACCTGAGCCTCCAAGCCTTGAACAATGGAAGGACATAATCAAGGAGATCTTTATAATGGAAAAGATGACTTTTTCTCTGAGGTCTAGAGGACAGTCCATTTCTCCCTCTGAAAATAGGAGAAATGGACTGTCTTTATCCGAAGATGTGGACGCAATTGTGAATGTCTGTGGTCAATAAAAGAAAAATTAAGACGTGGACTAATAAATACTTAACTGGTGAGTCCCCACACAGTGTTCTCTATGTATGAGCTCCACAGGTTTGTATGTTATTTTTTGCCCACTTCTGGGCAGCTGTAAAGTCAAGGCTGACATATCACCTAATAATAAGGTGGTGATAACTGTAATAACACATATTACAATTATGATATTACTACAAAGTTGATACAGCAAATGTATTAGCAAAAAAAAAAAATCGCTATGTACACATCCAGCAACAAACAGCATGCTCAGCATTAGCTTGGAGTTGTGCGTCTTTTAGCTCTGTTTTGGTCTCAACCA